TTAACAAGAGCACATATATAGGTATAGGTATAGTATAGATAGTACCTTTCTCAATAGTAGTAACTGTAAGAGGGATCTCGGAGTCCTAGTGGACAATCACTTAAATATGAGCCAGCAGTGTGCTGCAGCTGCCAAAAAAGCCAACACAGTGCTAGACTGCATTAATAGAGGGATAGAATCAAGATCACGTGAAGTGTTAATACCATTTTACAATGCCTTGGTAAGGCCACACTTGGAATACTTCATCCAGTTTTGGTTACCTCGATGTAAAAAAAGATGTTGAGACTCTAGAAAGAGTGCAGAGAAGAGCAACAATGATGATTAGGGGACCGGAGGCTAAAACATATAAGGAACGTTTGCTGGAATTGGATATGTCTAGTTTAATGAAGAGAAGGACGAGGGGGGACATGATAGCAGTATTCCAATATCCCAGGGGCTGCCACAAAGAAGAGGGAGTCAAGCTATTCTCCAAAGCACCTGAAGGCAGGACAAGAAGGAACGGATGGAAACTAATCAAGGAGAGAAGCAAACCTAGAACTAAGGAGAAACTTCCTGACAGTTAGAACAATTAACCAGTGGAACAACCGGCCTCCAGAAGCGGTGAATGCTCCAACACTGGAAGTCTTTAAGAAGAGACTGGGAAGCCATTTGTCTGAAACGGTATAGGGTTTCCTGCCAGAGCAGAGGGTTGGACTAGATGACCTCCAAGGTGCCTTCCAACTTTATTATTATTACTATTATTATTATTATTAATTATTGGATTCATTTTTCAGAGCAAGATTCTTTCTTAAGTTGAAACTAATAATTCAAATTAAATATGTCAAAATTTACAAAAAAGGCGCATGGAAAACCAAAACCACATCAAGGTCCCAAAGCCTCAGGGCGCAGCACCTCCTCAGATGATGCAAAAGACCAAAAGATGTTGTGTAGCTTTCTCCAAGTGCCTGCAAGTATTTTTAGCTGGAGTTTCACATTGCACCCTGTAATAATCTTGGCTGTTTTGACCTCGAGACATGCTCATTTCCTACAGAAAGCAGAGATTAATGCACAATCTGCTCGTACGGAAAGTCAGTGCCAAGAAAAACCTGGATGCACTTTTCATTCTCTTGGTCCATCTAGTTTTTGAATATATTTCCCCCAGCTGATTAAAACAGGCATCAAGTTCCAAGGTTTGCAAAATTGGAAACTGACTTCTGTAAAAGATAGTAGCTTTCCAAATTCCCTCTTGGGGGGGGGGGTGTTGGTGGTGAAGGATATGCATTATTTCATTCATCATCGCCTTCCACTGTTCTGGCTGGAGTTGCTGTCCAACTTGTCTGGAAGACACCACCAAGTACTTAGATCAGGGCTTTTCAACCAGTGGTACGGGTACCACCCATGGTACATTGGCACTTGGCAGGTGGTACGTGACCATCCTAGAAAAGTGGTAGCGGGGGAGGGGAATGAGCTGAACTGGTGGCAGCACCGCAAAAGCCTGAGTGAGAGATGGCTGGAGCTGCAGGGCTGTCAGGGCTCAGCGGAAGCACCAGGATCAGCACCAGGCTCCAGCTGGAGCTCGGCGCTGATCCTGGCGCTTCTGCTGACCCAGAAGAAGCACCGATCAGTTGGAATGTTGCAGCATCTCCAGGGTCTTGTGATTTACACTCAGATGCTTGGCAATTGATTCATATTTATGACTATCACAGTGAAGTGACCAAAACCTGCTACAACCACCCAGCAGATGGGGGGGGGGAATAAAGACCAAACACCCCCCACCCCGCCCCCACTGCCAATCCTCAATGGAAATGCTCACAACAATGAAAACCTCGGACAGGAGGAAGAGTGCCGACGAGCAGGCAGGCAGGTGTCTTGCTTGGCTGTGGCTTGGGGGGCACTTTTTCCAGTGCCATTGTAACTTCAAACAGTCACTAAGCGAACTGTTGTAAGTCAAGGACTACCTGTACTTTATCACTTCCCCCTCCCTTTTTTTGGTCATCAAGTTTTTGACCCCTTGCTAGGCAACTGGTGGTACTCGGATGTTGCCATATCCTAAAAGTGGTACAATGGGTGAAAAGGTAGAAAAGCCCTGCTTTAGATATCCTTGCTAAAATGGAGGAAGCGCAGCTTGAAAAGGAAAGGAAAGGGTTGTGGGAGTGAGAGTTCATCACAAGAATGAAGATTGCCTTTTCTCAGAACAATCAGCAGCCTGGATGTCAACCGATTTGCCCAGTTTCGCCCACAATCTCATCAGCACTAGTTGGGTTTTGGTTCCTAGGAGAGTTTCAACACAACTCTTACACAACAGATTTACTATTAAACTGCCTGATCTCCGCTGATTTTCTCTGCCAGGGACTGCCACCTCCAATGAGCTCCTATTACAGACTTATCATTCCAGCCTTGCTTAAGCCAACCCAGAAGAAAAGAACCATTTCTGAATGACTATGGTCCTTCAGCCTTTCGCCAGGCTGCAACTCTTCAACCAGGGCAGTCTTGACAGAGGGTGTTTTTCCTCGTAAAGGTCAAGAAAAATATGAAAAAAAAAAACTATTTTGAAAGAGTTAATGGCAAACCGGTTGCCTTCCAATTTGGGGAGCAAAGGTGAGAGCTGGGAAGCCAGGGAACATTCTCATAGGATCAACCAAGAAACATAAAAGGGGTGGCCACAAAGAAGAGGGAGTCAAGCTATTCTCCAGAGCACCTGAAGGCAGGACAAGAAGCAATGGGTGGAAACTAATCAAGGAGAGAAGCAACCTAGAACTAAGGAGAAACTTCCTGACAGTGAGAACTATCAGTGGAAGGACTTGCCTCCAGAAGTTGTGGGTGCTCCAACACTGGAGGTTTTTAAGAGGATTGGACAACCATTTGTCTGAAATAGTATAGGGCAGTGGTGGCGAGCCTATGGCACGGGTGCCAGAGGCGGCACTCAGAGCCCTCTCTGTGGGCACGTGCGCCGTTGCCCCAGTCCTAGGCCTTCAGCTGGGTTTAATAAAACCTTTTCGCTTTAGGCCTCCACTGCCGTGTGCAAAAAAAAAAAAAAAAAGGTTCAATCAGTCAATTTCAACTTCTCGCAGGAAAAAAAAAGATCTTGCAGAATTGGAATTGATTGATTGAACTTTTTAGTCTCACCCAGTTGGCTGTTACCACCGCAGCCACACCCACCCAATGGGCCACACCCACCTGGCACTCAACAATGCATAAGTGGGTTTTGGGTTGCAGTTTGGGCACTCGGTCTCTAAAAGGTTCGCCATCACTGGTGTAGGGTCTCCTGATTGAGCAGAGCGTTAGACTATTAGAAGACCTCCAAGATTCCTCCCAACTCTATTATTCTGTTCTGTAATTCTTTCTATGATTACATGTATCCATCTCATGAAGCCCAAAGAAAGTCCAGCATGGCGTACTATCTCCTGCCATGGGCAGAGGGTTGGACTAGAAAACCTCCAAGGTCCCTTCCAATCCGATTATTCTATATTTCTTTTCTGCAGCACAACATTCAGAGAAAACCGTGCTCTTTTTTTCTCTCTCACTCCCAGATCAAAGGCTTTGGGAAGGGAAAAGGAAACCGGTATTCGAAATGGTTACAAACGTGGGTTTGCGACAACGCAACGAGGAGGAGAAGATTGTGGCCGAAAACTCTCTCATCACATATACATGCAGCAGCCAGTTCGACAGCATTTCCAGCAGAGAGAGAGAGGGAATTGCACCACCTTCTCAACTTACTCCTGCCGCTTGCGGGAGGGGACCGAGAGAGAGGCAGCTCCACAGGAATGCAAATCTGAGTCTCGGGAAGCTGCCAGCCCTTCTTGTCAGGCCCACACGTTGAAAGGGAACCTGTTAGGAGACTTGCCGGCTGCTTTGCTTTCCCCTGACAGGAAGGGGAACCAGTGCCATGGCGTTCCCGGCTTGACTGCCTGGGAACAATTCTGGCACCCCACAGCCATAGTTGTCAGAGAGGTCACTTTTGATTACTTGCTTTTGCAGGTTGCAAAAGATTTAGTCAGGTGGATTTCGCAAAGCTGTTTACCGTTCTTTCACGTGCTGCCTTTCCCAAACCAAAGGAAAGCCAAGTGGGAAAGGAGTATGAGATCCTCCATTTGTGCCCTCTTCCAGAAACGCCACAATTTGCCGAATGCCTCCTTTAACTCAGGAATACGTATAGTCTTGACCAACTGTGAGGGGCTTTGCCGTTCGCTGCTTTTAAACTTAGAAACCACATACGTGGACAAACACACGTACACACACCTTTTCTGGCATTCTCAAGCAGGCTGTGCAAGGTCCAGTGCTCTTAAATGAGCAAATCTAAAATAATTATTTGAACAATTAAGCTAGTCCGTTTATCCGGCCACAGCGTCCTTGACGTTCATTTTGCTAAGTGTATTCCCTTCCTAAGATAAAGCAGGCCCACCGATATAGACAAGCCGTTCATAGCAAAACTTTCTGACACTTCCTGATGGGTGCAGAGAAAACTCTCTGATGGAATTCCTGTTCGTCACTCGTGGGTCAACGTTAGGGAGGGTCAAGGTGATGAATGCCATATCTCAGAAAGGATGTCATGGGCTAAAGGCGCGGTCACCCGTTGCTTCGGGTAAAACTGAGGTTAAAGTTAAACCGAAAGATTTCCTGGTCCACCGTCGCTGAGTGTAGCCAGCAGCTCACATGCCACCTATCCCATGTTTCTCTACAGAGGACAGAGTCTGCATTCTCAGTAGAGTTTTACAGGTGTTGTATCTGAAGGCTTGGCTGAAGACAACTCTAGACCACCCTAAATAAACATCTCAGCGCAGAATAAACACTCAACATTACCGTCATGGAGTAAAAACAACTTTTCCGGGTCAAGTTTTGCATTTCTGTCTCTGAATTAATGTAACTATTAATCTGTCAAGTAGCTTTACACACACACACACACACACACACACACACACACTCCTCAGGACTGGGCGAGCTTTTTCCTGGAACTTAACAGCGAATCTCAACTTGCACATCTCAACAGACATGTAGGAAGCAGAAGACTTAGCCGTACTTACTTGACGGTAACTCGATTAGATAAATCCTGAAGGTCACCAGGATGAAAAAGCTGAGCTTCTTTTAATCCAAGGTTTTCGCAGGCTTTCAAGAAGACGTTGATATTATCCTGCGAAAGAGAAGCAGAAGGAGGCGGCTACTTAGTGAAGGAGCGTGGCGGAAAGCGTGCAGGTCTCAAAGTCCAGCCTGTGGTCCTCAGGATTCACAGATGACAAGGAACATTTCCTGTGGCTCTGGAAGGAGCTGCTTTGACTGACAGGCACGTTAAAGATTAGCAGGTAAAAAAGGCAACATGGGCTGGCCAGTGAGGAGCAGCCTCCCCTCGGTGTCAGCTCTGCAAACAAACGCCCTCTTTTTTTTTTTTTTTTTTTTTAAGCTTTGCATGACAAGCCTCACCTCTCACATTTAAAAATAACTCCGGCTGCTGACATTCACCCACCCAGGAATGGTTGGCAACGGAGGAGCAGCGAGGGAGGAGGAACTGTTACTATGCCACCGAGGATTGCAGAAAGCACCACCTGCGAGTGGGTTTTGGTTACCGAGGATGGGGGGGGGAGGGGAAGAGAGAGAGAGAGAGAAAGAAAGAGAGAGAGAGAGAGAGAGAGAGAGAGAGAGACAAGGCAAAAGGCGAGGCAAGAGCAGAGACTGAGCAGAATCTGCAGTTTCACTGGGCAAATTAGGTGTGGCTGGGCAGGGATTTGTGCCACTTGCTCCAGGGAGAGCTTACCTTGAACCCTGCAGAGAGATGGTGGAAACAAGGTTCTCCTTGCCTGGGAATGCCAATTAGTCTAACTCTTTAGCCTAATTCTCTGAGTTCCCCCCCCCCCAATGTTCAGATCTAGATTCTAAACCAGTTATTCTCAACCTTTTTAAGGCCGCGACCCCCCAACCGGTCGTAAGTCGAGGACTACTCAACCGGTCGTAAGTCGAGGACTACTCAACTGGTGCAGCACCGTTTGCAGAATGGGACTTTTGGCGGGCTCAGCAGGGCAGAGACAGACTGGACAATTCCTATTGGCTTTTGAAAGCCAATAAAATTACTCTATTCAAGAGAGTCTATTCTATTGGCTTTCAAAAGCCAATAGAATAAAAGGGAGTAGCACAGCTAAGGAAAAGGGGGGAAAAAATGGCGGACTGCGTTGTTTGGCGACCCCCGTGAAATGGTCATGCGACCCCAAATGGGGTCCTGACCCACAGATTGAGAACCACTGTTCTAAACACCGGAGAAAACAACACTCTGGGTAAGAAGCATGCCGAACTAGGAAACAAGCAGTCCAGAAATGGGGTGTTTCCAGTTAACTCGGCTCCCCCAAAAGTTGGGCTAATTGCAATTCCAGTCGGGCTGAATTGCAATTCAGAACATCCTCCGTCATCTCTCTTTCCTGGCTTTGGCTGGCCAGCTGGGGCAGAGGGAAGCCCCGTTTAGCAATTTTTGAAAAACGGCAAGCATTCCCACGTGTCTGAGGGGGCCGGAGGGGGGGAGTGAAGGAATGGAAGCTCTGTCACCCTCCAAGCACAAGAGGATAAGACTAAAACTAACCACGCTCTGGATTCAATATCCCTGACACTGAAAACCAAAAGAGCTCTTTTCTAGGACAGCTGGGGATTATAACACTTAAAATTACCATTCATTTCCGCAGTCAAAAAAATTTGTATTTGTCCTATTTGCATCCTATTTTGTGGGCTGAAAGTGTGTGAGGGTTCAAAGTCCATGGCGAAGGGTAGGTTGGAGTTTTGCTTGTAAACAGGTCTCCGGATTACACTGGGCTGTAATAACTCCAGCAGCCTTTGCTCCCTGGCACAGCATGTGGCTAAGCTGGGCAGGTGCCCAGGATGCTAATTCTTTTGGGGGATCAGCACACTCCCACATGGCTTTGGGGGTGGCCATACCAAAGGGCTGCCCACCCACTACTGTTTGTTCTGCAAACATCCTGGAAATTCCTGAATTCCAGAATGTTTTCCCTTCTGGTGCTCAAGCTTGGCTTCAGCCAGCAATCCATCGAACCGCTGCCGATAATTATTGGATCACTGGAGAAAGCAATTGTGCGTGGAAGAGTTAGTGGTAAAAGGAAACCAGGCTGCCAAAGAACACGGTGGCTGAACACCATCAAAGCTGACACCAACCAGAGCATAGAACAACTCAACGAAGTAGCGCAAGATCAGAAGATAGGGAGAGACTTGGTTGATGGAATCACCAAGAGTTGGACACAACTGGATAACATCATCATCGACAACTATTGGGTCACTCATTCCATCTTGCAGCCTAGGTGCTTCCCTCCCTGAGTGCCGTCTTCCCCTCTGAATTATGCACCCTTCTATTCTTTCTCGCTCAGAAGATTGTAGGTGCCAAGGCATATAGCTGCATTTACCCAATATAGAATAATAGATTTGGAAGGGTCTTTGGAGGTCTTATAGTCCAATCCTCTGCTCAAGCAGGAGACCCTATACAATTTCAAAGAAGTAGCTGTCCAGTCTTTCAGTGATGGAACACCCACAACTTCTGAAAGCAAGCCAGTCCACTGGTTAGGAAGTTTCTTCAGAGTTCTAGGTTGCTTCTCTCCTTCATTACTTTCCATCCATTGCTTCTTGCCCTGCCTTCTGTTGCTTTGGAAAATAGGTTGACCTCCTCTTCTTTGTGGCAGCCCCTCAAATATTGGAATACTGCTATCATATCACCCCTACTCTTTCTTTTCTCTGAACTAGCCAGACCCAATTCCTTCAACCGTTCTTTATATATCATTTAGTCGTTTTAGTTGTTCTTCTCTGCACTCTTTCCAGAGTCTCAACATCTTTTTTGATAATGTGGTGACCAAAACTGGATGCAGTATTCTAGAGGTGGTCTTACTAAGGTTTTATATAGCGGTACTCATACTTCACGTGATCTTGACTCTTATCTTTCTTTTTCCAGCTCTCCCCAGCTGGGCAGGATCCATTTGGAAGAACAGAAGCAAACCAGGAGAGGCAGAACTACCCCCACTGAATTCGAGCAGTCTCGAGTTCAGTAACTAAATCACTGGACAATTGATTATTTCTTTTGATTTTGCAGAAAGATGCAGCAGTGTTTGCAGAAAAGGAACCCAAATCATGAGAAAAGCATGTGAGAGACAGGACATGTTATGCAGTAAGTATTTTTTTTTTTTTAAAAAAAATAAAAATAAAAATCCTGGCCTGCACTCAATTCCAGCTGAGCAACGCTTGAGTTGGCTGCTTTTTGCACTTGCTTAAGCAAAGGGCTGGGCGGGAATCACGTCATCAATGAGAGTTCTGGAATGTGGCAGAAAATCACTGACATCACCCTTCTGCCCTTCAGCTGGGCAGCACTGCAAGCCTTGGGGCCTCTTTAGCAGGTTGCCCAGGAATGGGAAGAGGGAAAGAGGTGTGTAAACAGGTGTGAGAAAGGGATAAATCACAGTCTATACCAGGATTTGATCCTGCAGCACAGATGCTGGATTTCTTTTCTGTCTTGATTCACGCACTCGTTCTTCTACTTGAGTTTCAACAGGGCTAAAAGTTAGACAGGAAGGAGTCGTAATAGCTGTGAATTAGTTAGTAGATGTAGGCCCTACCAAATTAAAACCTTTCAGTCAGTTATACAAACACTTCTCTTCAAGCATTTATTCTTGCCACTTCAAGTTGTTTTAGTGTTATTTTTCTTAATTCTTAAAACTTCAACAGCACACCCCTGTAGCTTGTAGTAACTAAGCGCTACACAATGAGAGCCAAAATAAAAAATCATGTCATTGTAATAACAGGAACACTGATGAATACCGGATAAGAAATAAGCCAAATGAAAATATTACAGTTGGATTGGGTCGTTTTTCCCACTAAATATCATACAGCAGTTAATTTATAGTTTATACAAAGTGGATATATTTACATATTATGTGAATGGTGTATTGGTATGCCCTAGATACTAAGAATAAATATCCATAAGTATTTTTCTTCTTCTTCAAGAAGATCAGAGTATAATAAATGATGAACATAGACAATGAAGTTTTTTCTCTTTCTCTTTTTTCCTCAAATCTAGTCAAAGAAGGAAATCAGGGACAGAGTTTCGTGGGAGGTAGATACGGGATTACTCAGCACAATTTTGTTCCATTACTCAACAGTTGTCATGGAACTGAACAATCATAACTTCCTATTTACCTTTGATATGATTTGATTTTTTTTCCTGATTCTTGGGATAGTCTTTGTAATACTCACAGCCTATTCGTGGCTCTGGGTTATCAGCAGTCTAAATTTCATCACGTAACCACGAGATTTCTTCATCAAAAAGGAGATTAAATCCTTTTCATATGAATTCATTTCACGGCCTTTCAAGAAAATGTTCTGAATCCTAAAGGAAACCATATGATGTACCATACTAAGCCCGTTAATTAACAAAAATCAAGAAATTGAATATTGTCTGTCTATCTGACTGTCTGTCTGTCTATCTATCCATTATTACCTATCTATAATCTATCTATCTATCATCTCTCTCTGTCATCTTTCAATCTATCCATCTCTCTCTCTCTCTCTCTCTCTCTCTCTCTTTCTCTCTATCTCATCTCATCTCTCTTCTATCTATCTACATCTATCTCTCTCATCTCTCTCTATCTATCTATATCTATCCATCTATATCATCTATCTCTAACTATCTATCTATCTATCTATCTATCTATCTATCTATCTATCTATCTATCTATCTACAGAGAAGAGCAACAAAGATGATTAGGGGACTGGAGGCTAAAACATATAAGGAACGGTTGCGAGAATTGGGTATGTCTAGTTTAACGAAGAGAAGGACAAGGGGGGACATGATAGCAGTATTCCAATATCTCAGGGGCTGCCATAAAGAAGAGGGAATTAAGCTATTTTCCAAAGCAGCTGAAGGCAGGACAAGAAGCAACGGGTGGAAACTAATCAAGGAGAGAAGCAACCTAGAACTAAGGAGAAACTTCCTGACAGTGAGAACAATTAATCAGTGGAACAGCTTGCCTCCAGAAGCAGTAAATGCTCCAACACTGGAAGTTTTTAAGAAGAGACTGGACAGCCATTTGTCCGAAATGGTGTAGGGTTTCCTGCCCGAGCAGGGGGTTGGACTAGATGACCTCCAAGGTCCCTTCCAAC